AGGACATGGGCAAGTGGGTGCACCCCTGCCTTTTTTGGGTGGCGCACAAGTCACTCCCCAAACTAACAATAGACTACCAGCAACTTTTGCATGCTCATGCGGCTTTTGAGCCACACCCGTGTCCTAAATAGTTCAATGGTCAGGGTGTTCCCGCCTTCGTCTCCAACCCTGCACGCGTTTTCCAACGTATCATGGAACTACCTCGTTGGGGGTGCTCCTACCTCGGTTTGCACCTGTTGCCCGAAACATGTTTTTGCTCGGCCTTTACTGTTGTCTTCTGCAATTAAAGGCAGTCGCTCGTCATGTGAGCAGAAGTATGTCTTAAAATCGGGAATTCCCCAACATGCGGCCCGGTTTCCCTTTGGGATCCCCTTACAAGAACCCTAAAAAGGGTACCACTACCATACATGTTTGGGCAGGAGGCACGTCACAAAGTCTTCCTTCAAGGTGAACTGGTATCTTGCGGGTTGAAGACAAAGGAAAACCAAGGAAAGCCGGGCCCCATGTTGCAGCACCCATAAGTACTTCTTGCCTATCGTTCACCCCTCCTCTCAAACAAAAAGCCCCTGGAAAATGGTGGGTACTTGATACCAACCCCAAAACCACTCCCCCGAAATGGTGGGTAAAGATTTGACATTCCCATTGAACCCAGCCCCTGAATTGGTTCACCCTGAAGCAAACACGCCGGGCGGAAACGCCTCTTCGGGTCGCTGGCCACGCCATACCACGCGCGGAGGATCTCGCAAGAGGCGCCGGCCTGGCACAAAACGAGGCCATCCACAGTGGATGGCCCGTCCACGTCTGAGTGGATGGCCCCATTTCTCAGTGCTCTAGTGGCTTGGACATGGCCCCATGGTTTTCTCAAGTTGCTTGGAGATGGCCCCAGGTTCTCTGTGTTGATAGTGCTTTTTGTTTGCTTTTTTCTGACGTTCTAGGAGGGTTTCCAGTACCCCCAAAACACTGCCACAAAGCGAATTGGGCAAGAACACCACGTTGTATGCGTTGTAAGCTGATATACACCATGTTCCACTCGCAGATTTGGGACGTGGAATGAATCAATTCTCCCCCAACCAAAGAATCGATATCTGACCGAGTTTCAAAAAAACACGTGGAGGTATTTCTGTCACTCAGGACAGCAAGATTGTGCATCATTCCAGGACCTGCTCCATGACAAGAGCGGACTGAGCCAAGAATTCCCTAGGCGCCATGGTTTGGGATGGACACCCACCACTTGCAAGGCAAACCCCAAACCTCTTCACCTTCCCTCGCTCGATAGGGTCCAAGAAAACTCCGGGGCCAACCGCTGTGGCAAACAAGCCGGCTCCATCTCTCACAGCCCGATGGCCTCAAAGGGGCCAAGCTGGAGAGTCTGCATCTCGCTCACCTTGCGGACCAGGCGACGGATTCTGGTGTGGTGTGGCCACTGGCATGAATGAAATTGGCTTGGCCCGTACACAGCAAGCACTTGGCCTTAAGCAAGTTGAAAGCTTACCAACTAAACCCACGGGGTGGGTTGCGCCGCCACTGCTTTGGGTTTTGGAACGCAGAAACCAAAGCCTTTCCCTGCAGCCGCCCAGCTACTTTGCCACGCAGCAGGAAATGAGCGGCCAGAGGTGTACACCAAACATACTACAGGAAATGCGCAAGTCCAGCCTGTCAGCATTTTGAGAGAAAGAGCACTGCGCTTTTGCAGCTCACAAAGTCATGGGGGAAGCTTGAATGAGGTAGGGGGGCGGGGGCAGCCCTTGCAGTTGAATCCCTGCGCAGCGATGACACAAAAAGGGGTGGATGTTGAACCTCTGCGCAATGTCTGAAAAGTAGCGGGGGGGTTGGGGGGGCGGCAGCCCCCCCATGATGTTCGAAAAGTGGTGATTCAAAAAGAGGGTGTGGTTGAATCTCTGCGCAGTGGCGCAGCGATCACACATAAAGGTGTGGATTTTGAACCCCTGCGTTATGTCTGAAAAGTGGGGGGGGGGGGGGGGGGTTGGGAGGCCATCGAGGGCTCTTCGGCGCGATGGCCGGAATGAAGCGCGGGGGCTCTTCGGCGCAGGGGGCCGGAATGAAGCGCGGACCAAGGGCCGGGGTGCAGCAGGGGGGGGGGGTTGGGTCAGAAACACAGAGGGGGGTTATAAGCAATGCGTGGGGGAAAGGCAAGTTGACAGGGGTCGAATAAAAGCAAGGGGGGGGTCGAAAAGAAAGGGGGGTTACACAAAGGGGGGGGTTCAAACTGAAGGAATGGGGGCTCAAAAAAAGGCAGGGGTCAACAAAACGGTGGGGGGGGGGGTCAAAAAAAGGGAGCCCACAGCTGTTTGTACCGTATATGTTGAACAGGTGCTTGCCAGATTCCAGATGATTTCCCAGCTGAAGATGCTGAGGCGTGCGTAAAGTGGCTAGGGGTAGAACACTGAAGCCAGAACTCGATATGAAAAACCATGAATGAAGGTGTGCAGCCGCATGCCGGCACTGAAAGGCAAGGCTACTTCGGTTGTTCAGCTGAGAACCTCATCCCCGGTTCCCGAAAGCCTCGATGGTTTGCCAGCTCCACGTGCGGCGCTCCTGGCAAGCGCACTACATCAGAAGTGCCACCAAAAGCCAGGCAAAGCATCAAAAGGGCCGGTCATGACTTTTTATTTACCACTCAATTGGTCTGCCCAAAACGTAATTATCAAGTTCAGGAACTCAAGGAGTGAGCAATTGTACCGGAAAAGCTTGGCTCCTCCGGGGTTGTGGAAGAAGTGGCTGGGGTGGCGGGCGATGTTGGAGAGGCCTCGTCAGCCTCTATGCTTTCTTCCTGCCTCACTCAAGATCGGCGAGACATTGACCATCTAACGTACTAATGCTGCGTGTGTTGGCATTGGCATCCTGTCTGCACGCAAGGTGAAAATCAAGTGCCGCGGACAGGAGGTAGCTAGCTTTTGTGCCGGATCTGGATGGGCCAGACTCCTGTGTGCAGGGCAGACCGTTCTGCTCTTGTCACTCCCAAAGTTCCTTTCCTGGTTTCATCAAACAACATCCTGAAGAAAACGTCACGACAGAAAACAAATGCCGTCCATGGAAAAGCAAGCTTTAAATGGTGAAAATTCCCAAGTTGAGAATGGTAGCCCTCCAGCTCAGCAAACCTGTTTGTATCTTGTATGTGTGGCCGGCAAATATTCTTACACCAAAAATCAGGCAATAGCCACAAGTAGCGGCCAACCAGTCGTTTCATAGCTCTTAAATTACACACACTGTTAGATCCCGGATAATTTGTAAACAATGAACAGGCCACTAATAGACTAAGCATTGGACATCATCCTCTCTCGGCTCTCCCGGCTGCACAGGAGATCCTGGCAACGGGTAGTGAAGTGCCAACGTTGCCTGCCCTCTACCAAGTGGCCAACCCCGGCGTCTGTCCCCCCACACCTGCCTTACCCGCACACGCCTGCCCGCACAAACAGGTTGGTGCTTGAACATTCCCCTCTATTCCCCCCTGCTTCGCCTCTGAACTTTCCGGAGCGCGCGCACCTCGCCCGGTTTGCTATTGTTTGCTCTCGGTCGAATCGACAGCACTCGGGCCCTTGGGACATTGAACGTGAAAAATAAGCAGTCATTGGAGTCCTGGAGGTGTCGGGACAGATTGCAATTTGTTACCATCCCCAAGAATCACTTAACAGGGTCTACGTCTCGAGACGCACCTGAATTATGTTGCCTTTTCGTGACCCCTTTGGGTGCCTTTGACTGCAACTCAAGTCAGGCAAATCGCAGCACAAACTATCCACATGGTCACTTGGCGCGTAAAGCCCCCATCAACAAACCGAAACGTGTGAAGGTTCCAAAACTCAGACAACCCCGCCTTGCATTCCTTAAAACTTTGTCTTCCCCAGCCCAACTGTCTTGGCACGTGCTTTTTTGCAGCGCAGCTCTTTTCGGCTCTGAGCGGCAGGCCGAGAAAGACATTCGGGTCCGAGTCCGCCATGTTCGCCTCCGTTCGCTTCGGCCGTGGTGGTGGGCGAATGGCTGAGTCACTCAGAACAGTTCCCTCCGAGGCCAAGAATTATCTTTTGCAGCCGATTCATTGATTGTCTGGCAACAGATTGGTTTCTTGGACCCCCAAAGGCACAATCGAACCGTGACATTGCGCTGAATTCTCAGTTGCGGGTTTCACGGGCGTGTCGTACAATAACCGGTGGTCTCCCTTTGAACTTCCTTTCAAAAGCCGACCTCTGCAAGACACGCACACACACACAGACACACAATAGACACACAGAGACACACAGAGACACACCACATATACACACGCATATACACATATACACACGCCAACCACTGCTGTATATGTTGCTTGCACCTTCAGGGAAGCAGCACTGGGTCTCCCACACGGCGACACGTGCGGCTGTGCCAAGAAATCACATGCGAAGATGGCAGCCCTGGATCCAAGTACTGTTTGTCTTCCGGTTGTTGTTGAAGGCTGTTTGCTTCAAGGTGAAAACACACACACACACACTCCAACAAGCAAAGAGCCATAAGCTCTACGAGGATTTGTCTGGCTGTCTTCCAGGCAAAGACCCATAAAAACCACGCGGATATGTGTGGCTGTCTTCCGGCATTCGCTGGCTTCTGGCATTTGTTCGACAAGCCCACATGTGGCCTTTGACTTATCTGCTATCAAAATACCTCTGAGCCATGGTCAGTGAGCGAGCAAGCGGCACATGAGTCACAATCAAAGCTTGGTACTCAAAGACCTGGTGTGAAAGGGCCCATTGAAATCAGCCAACATAAACTCCTGGTGTTAGAGGAGTCTGCGCAAAATTTCCGGCGGTTATCCGCGCTGTTTCTTCATGTTGGGACTGTCCAGACTGTCTCTTGACCTTGACTTACTTCGGGGTTTGATTGCTCACATCACCGTCCCTGAAGTTGCAAGCATGGACCCTCGCAAAGGGGGTGCTCTATGCCAAACTGGTACTAGAAGCAAGCTGTGGAACTAGTAGCAAGCTTCTGAACCAGGCGTCAGGCAAGCTGTCCTTGACGCCTTGCACCACGATTCCCGCCTCAAACACAACCAGTGGCCATGTGAGCACATCATTCCCCACAGGGCATATCCTGAGAACTGGAGAGGTCCCGAGACATGTTCATGTTGGCTTCAAGGAAGACATGCCGAGCACGGTACCAAGCTGCCAAGGGCGCCAAACAGACCCGCTTGCACCTCGGGAGAGTCGTGCAAACGAAGCTTGCTTTCAAAGGCGAGAGGCAAAGATGTATGGCTAGTGCAGTAAAACGATTGACCTCCTAACAAATTCATATATGAAAGCTTCCCCCCCCCACACAAAAAAAAAAACATGTTTGGGGAAGCTGCTGTTGGTCAGCCCTTCTGTGAATTGGACATTAATGTGTAGAAGTATATACCTCTGCAAATTGGTTGGCCTCTGCAATGACTCGGTGCCCGTTAGATCTGTCTTCCAATAACGGTCTGTCGGTTCAAGAAATTGAAGGTCTGTCCGCGTCCACCTAACAAAGTTGTCTTTGTGCCGACTAGTGCACTCGAGCTGCCGGAACAAGGTAAGATGAACAAAGGTGAGGAACATACTCACACAATTTGCTCTATGAATGCCTGGATTCATATGCTTGGTCGGACTTGAAGAACTGATTCCGCGTCGAGCTTGCAGACTCTCCTGAAAAGGCTAGGAATGAGAACAAAGCAATATTAAATGATGCATGTACACAATGCGCACGCAATGCTTGGGCCTGAATCAAATCATTTGGCAATTGCCAATCCATAGCGAAACACAGGACTCCCTCAAGTGGCATTTGGCTGATCATGTTCTCCACCGTGAACTCAGAAACTCAAAAGTGTCAACATTCTGCGTCAACAAGGCGGGCTTTCGATTGGTGGGTTTGCCCCGGAAGAACCGGCAAACCAATCCAGATCACCTGATCCTTGATCTGGAACCGACAGACACCCTCTGTGAAGTTGAAGCCAACAACAATCACACACTTCTCAAATAAGAATTAAGACACAATCTGTTCGGAGGAATCGAGGAATCTCCTTGGCGGAATCGGGACCTTCAAAAAAGCCGCCATGACTTTTGTTGTTTCCGGGGCTTCGTGCCACAGCGGCCACCGGTTCTAGGGCGGACACACCCAGGGCCTCGCTTTGGCTGCGGGCCGCAGGTTTGTCACAGGGGCGTTGGGCGAGTTCATATTGTGTCAACAGAGAAACTGACATGGCAAAAACAAAAAAGGGGATGTTCGTCCAGTCGCCCCACATAAGGCGTAGGTTCGAACCATCCCCAATAAGATCCAATAAGCCTATACAACATTTTGTAACAGCCATCAAACGGGCAACGACAATTGGCAAGTGTAGCAAGTGTCAAACGCCGAGCATCACGCACGTTCAACCCTCCATGAAGACCTTGAGTTTTGCAACAGTCAAATGTTGTCACCAAAATGAAATGTCTGAGTGAAGCAGAATAACTTGTCCAACCTGACCCTTCATCACATGTGGGAGGCTGCAAGGTCCCAGAAATGTGAAGTCGCCACAATGCAGGGAAATGATGGTATCTGGAGCTGTGACCACAAAAAAGCAGCGCCTCACCAGCCGCAGCGGCAGCCGCCTGGCCAGGGAGTTGTCCAAATCTGGCAACGACTAGTAGGTTGGCTCAGGCTGGGTTTAGGGTAGGGTGTTGGGGGGGGGGCTAGATCACTACACAAACCGCAAAAATCCACAGCAATAAACACTACAAAAACTGAAGCATCACATCAGGAAACAATATGCTCTGCTTTCGAAAGCTCGCCCGTCAGTTCCATTCACCTTGGTTATGCGGGCCTCTGATTCCTTTGGTTGATGCCTTCTGTGGGGCTCCGTGGCCGGATGATCGTCAAAATGCTTCTATCACACCTCGTTCAGGTCGATTTGTGTGCCATGAGATAAGAAAAAGGCTTGCCTTTGACTGAGCAGCCCAAGTAGATAACTACCTAACTAGTAGGGGACCGGTCGCCTTTCGAGACGTCAACAAATTTGAAACAAACCCAGCGTGATTTGAGTCCGGCCATGTTTGCAACAACACATTCTTTTGGTCACCAAGTTCAACCTGAAATGTGACATGTAAATTGCATCTTCAGCCTACGTACCTGTAGGCAAGCACGAACAGGGTTCCCAAAATCTGCCTTACAAACATCACCCCGAAAACCACTCACTCAACGTTGGCCCGGGAAGGTGACGGTTAAAGCATCCAAAGCCCGGAACCCTCACATGGCCCCGTTGTCCGGGTCTCCCACCTGAACCGCTTTCCCACCCGCTGCTCCAGTCGCTGCAGCGAGCCCAGCGGCAGCGACCTGGCGCTCGCGGAGTGCATAACGGAAGATCTATCATCTCTGTACCTGCCTCTTCCACCTCAGGATTTTTTGATTTTTTCCGGAGACGGCTATTTTTGGGAAACTTCCGGAAAACACTGGAGCTTTGCAACTATTTCAAAACTGTTGGAATTGGCATGACGGTGCGAAGGCTCCCGCACGCTTTGCATTTTCTTCTCCGGACGCTATTCTAGTTTCTTTGACCGCTCCCGGAGTTTGCCCCGCAGCTGAGAATCCTGTTTTGGGGAAACCTAGAAATAAAGCAAACAAATCGGGAGAAGGGAGATCCCAGTGCATCATCAAGGCCACAAACTTGTCTGTCAGGCACGAACCGTGAACTGGAACCGCGAAACAGAATCGAAAGCCACATACGTATTGCCAACCAAATCCGCTCTTCAATAATTTCAACCAAAACTTTGAAGCACAGAAGTAATGTTCGGAAAGCGCGCTCTCTCATCTCCAGGTCGAAAAGCGCAACTCTAAATGCAGAAGCAGTGTAGAGCATCACGCGCAAGGGGCGGCATCACGGGCAGCATCATGCACACGAGAAGTTGATAGGAGAGATTCTGAAGCATGATGCTAAGATTGCTCGTCAGAACTTGCAGAAGCCACGCTTGAGCAGGGACATTGACGTGTTTACGTTTTTGCTTGCTCATCAGGTGGGGGAGGTGTCAGAGTTTCTTGAGCGTGTTTCTATACTTCCGACTCCTAAATGTTTGCGGGGGAAACAGAAACGTTTTGGACACAAGGACCTCCCAATACTAGTCTGCGTCTTTGTATAAACCTGCGGTGCGGTCGAATCAAGTTAAGTCCCAAAATATTGCAAGCACACTAACCACGTCCAACCACAAGGCTTCTCGCAGTAAATCAGAGGTGTTCCATTGTTCTGATTGGCAATATTTCAGGCATCACGGATAGCATGCAGGACCCACACAAAGGTCCGCGGAAAGCCATCATACAAGGCTCATAAGCATTGGGAAACCAACGCCTAAGCCAACACTAGGTCAACCAGCCCTAAGAAAATCCTAAACCAACCAGAGCCCAAAGATGCCTAAAACCAACCTTAAAGTTACCCCTAAGCCATCCCTAACCGGATGGAAGCCTATAATCCAAAGCAAAACCACTCCAAACTCACCCCAGACACATCTACCGTAAGGCAATCCCAACCCTTGCCCTACACCTAAGACCAACAGGGAATGAACCTAAAAAGCAAGTTTGCTGCGCCGTCCATGTCATATATCTGAGGCCAGCAACCAATAGTTATTTGGCTCAATGCCGTCCAGGAGCTCTAGTACATTGAACTCAACATCAACACCAATGACACTCAAAGAAAAGTCTAAGTGGCCAAGGCCGAATTCCGAAAACCACTTCAAATATTCATGTAAGAACCTGTCATGTGGCGTGCTGGGCTCCCCTATAGTCTTTTTGGCACCAATCTTTAAACCTGCGCGACCTGGGCAATGAGCAGTGTTTTTTCTGTTTGGGTTATCCCCAACGATACAGCCTTGCAGATTAACATGGAACCCCTAAAATATCCAAACATCTTCATGTTTGAACCTTTTTTTGGGAGCCCTGCTTTCTGGGCTCTATGTGAATGCAAAGGGGGTACAGCCCCTGTCCAATCAAAGGGTTGATGGATTGCAGCCATCCATGGCATCCAGCCAAGCTCCATGTGGGTGGAATTGATCGCCTACCTGCTCAAGTCGCCACTAGCAGGCAGAAACGCAGCGTGCGTCAAAAGCCGGAAGTCTCCAAATGGTTTTCTTCAAACACCATCGGGGACCCTCCCAATGATTTGGACATGAAAGGACGGAATCAAGCCTCAGGCGCGGCACCTGCCATCTCAGCTGCCTGAGCCAGCGAGTTTGATAAGAAAGTTGTGACTGGCCTGAAGCAACCAAATTCTGCCAGACTTACCGACTTGCAATTAACGAGTAACTCCCTTCCGGCACAATTCCAATACGACAAAGGAGTATGCTTCGTCGCTCTGGGTGTGAGGCAATCCTCCTGCATCACCACGCCAAGCCAACCCGAAAGATTGACTCACAAACCAAACAATCGGGCGATCCCGTTTTCAATGCTTAGGCGAGCCCCTTTTGATAGGCTCTAAGGAGAAACCACACATAAGTGAGAGCGAAGGGACAACTTCAAGTGGTGCGCATGTGCAAACCAGAAAACGACCTCCTTTTTGGCTCCAATGTGTTCATGCAGCCTAACTTCTCCATGCTGAGCAGTCGACCCCGCTCAAAGTCTCCGGTTCGGATATGCCTCAGTTTTGTAGCCAAAAAAGGGTCGAGTAGGTTGAACCTTGCAGGAAAGACACCTTTGGACTACCCTCCGACAGGCTAACATGGAAGCTCCCAGAAGCCTCTGCAAATGGAACCAAGTCTTCCAAAGGGGTCCTGGAAGCTTCCATGTTAGTCCAAGGGAGGGTAGCATGGAAGGTGTTTGGGTGCCTGTATGCGAATCTGAGCCTGTCGCCGAGCATGTCCCCTGGCGATTTGAATTTAGGCAGGGGGCAGACTGGCACACCCCCACCTTCTGAAAAGGGATTCTTCGGCAGGTTCTGGGTACCTTTTCGGGGTCTTAATCTTTTTCCTGGTGGGAGCTGATACAGGGGGTCACCGGTTTACCCTTGGATGCCTTTCAGCAGGAAAGCGAACTTGTAACTCCGCCGATGCTCGCCAACTCTCACATCCTCCTTTTATGCGTGCTGTCGTTTTGCCCAGAGAATGAAGCATGTTGTTCTGACTCCGAGTGCCAAGCATTGCCGCCCTCTTCAAACATGGTGACAAAGCCGGGGCCAACGAAAGATTCAAATAGCCAACTGAATGCCCAGGGCAACCAAAGAGATATGTCGAGTGATGGCAATTCATGTCTCAAACTTGGACATAGCCGGAAACTCTCCCGCTGGTTCAATATACTAACGCGAAGTTGGAATGATGTCGGATTGCATCAGCAGCCATTGGAGCATACATTCCGCTTGGGATGCTTAGGTTTCCGCGCCAAACAAAATTGAGGTGAGCCATGATCAAAACATGGTAGCAAAATGGTCTACCCAAAACTATGTAAGAAATCAAAAGGGCTCCGCATCATTATGCCGGGGACTCTGCGCTACCACCCTTCATCTACCCGGGTTGTGATTGTGGCTCAGGTAATGGACACCACAGGCCACGCATAGCCCACCACTCCAGCCTATGTTGCCGCCTGCGGCTACCTGCAGCCAGAGACCAGGTCCCGAAACTGGCTCCAATGTTTCTCACCGCTCATTTAGGTCAAGCTCAAGGATTCAACAAGCTCCCCCCGCCGGCTGTGAAGGAACCAATCAGGCCTTTGACACATTGGCAATTCAGGATGCGAGCAGCTGGTTTTATCCATTGGGTTTGCAACATGGGTGGCGTCATGCTCCAGGACAGGGTGTGTTTGTAGATAGGGGACGCCAAAACACTGGGTGGTTTTTCGTCCCTTTTCTCTCAACCCAAACACGGTACCCCTTGAACATGCCACTCCTTTACTTGAGCCTGCAAGCTCACACATGTGTCTGCATTCCCGTAAAACAGGCTACGCCAACCACTTCTGATACCATGCTACCACCAGTCACCCTTGGGTGCTACCTCTAAAAATCGCTCGGCCACATCGCTTGAGACCTTTTGGGGCTGAAGCAAAATGGGGCAAACTTGTTGGTTGACCTGGGAGCCATGAGCCTTGCCTGTGCTGCGGCCTGCCCGAGGGCGTCTGTGAAAGCCAGGAAGTCCTAGGATGCGACAGGGAAACCAGAAGAAACCAAACCCAGTGCTTCCAGTTACCATTGAGTAGGTAACTTGTGCACTTCGCTGGAGGCCTGACATGATTGTTTCTTTCGGCTAGGGAAATCAACCCCCCAACAACTGCTTTTGGATAGCGTGCGGGGTTTTGGACATGGGAAACAGCAGTTGTTGCTGGAAAGGGAAATGAAAAGGTCCTAACCTATCCATGACCGGGATGAGACCAAACATTTTTGAGGGTGCCCATTTTGGGGTGGTTGTTTTGAATCGAAACAAACACGCGAAGACCCACCCATTTAAAGGGTCCATACAGAAAACTACGGCCGACCATAAGTTCACAGCTGGAAGTCTATCATATTATCCCTATAGGCAGGACAAGCGAAACCAGCCCCACAACCACATACAAATAGACTCAATGTGGTAGATCCATTCAAAACCCTCCAACTCGTACCAGGTCCGATACCCGGAACACGGAAGTTTTTCGGACTACCCGCATAAAGGCTTGGGTTGGGATGAGAAACAAGCAGTCCTCAATAAAACTCACCCGGGAAACCAATAGGCCACTCGGCATTTGGTGGTCTTTCGTTGCTGAAAGGCACCCACGGGTTTTTTTTGCCCTGCAAACAACCGTCTTGATGCTCCACCCGTGCATTTCACACGTCTGGGGCATCGAAGACGTCTGAGTTTGGCACTGTTCCGCCAGCCTCCCCTCCCACCAGCTGAGACTTGGGCGAGGACGGCGGAGTCCATGAGCTGTGGGCCGATGCCCGAAATTGCCACTGCCTACAGTGACTGCAGTGCATGCAGGGAAGAAAGAACGATCAATTCATATGCATCTTGTAAAAGCCCCGTAAACACCAGTGGTGGCCCCGCCAGCAGTTGCGTTCCTTTTTCCTCCTGGGCAAAGCACAAAGAAAATAGCTAGTGAGGAAACAATTCAGCATTTTTGAATGTTTGACAATTAAATCAAGGACACATAAAACTGAACATTGTCAGCTGAAGGCTTGAACACCTATACAGGGACAATTCGCATGCAAATGAGCAACTCACGCTCCAACACCCTCACAGGGACAAAACAAAGAAACCTCCAATTGTGCTTGTCCGCATGCAGCTTTCGGAGGCTTGTGCTTTCAACGTGTAATGTTGCCAGCAGCTACTAGCTGCACGTGCAAATTCCCTGCCAACTACACAGCACTTGCATGCAATCCTACATTCATTTGGCCACACGGCCCCCTCGCACGTTGAGGCCACTCTCTTGCTAGGGCCCCTTGGAAGCAGGATCCAGGGGGCCTCGGTGTTTGACGGGCTGGGCGCGCGGCAAGGCCGACCAGGAGCCCCAACAAGCCCCACTGCTCCGCCAGCGAAAAGAGCCGCGGCGAGCCGAGCGGCTCCTCCTGGCCGATGGACTCAGTTTAACGGGCCCTGAAAAAGGGGGGGAGGTAATGTGCCCTTTGGCTAGTTGCATACGATTGTACAGCGGAGCTATCATGGAGGCAATATGTACCCCCTGCGTAACTGGTATGTCAATGGTATGTCAATGGTATGTCAAATCCCATATCTGCTACCCCAACGGAAAAGCGCCCGTGCTTGCAGGTTCTCAGTATCTTCTGAATGAACCTGGCAACCTCTCGTCAACAACCCAATGGCTGGCAACAGGCCATCACGCAGAAGCTTGCCAACCCTGAAGCACACGTATAATATGCTCAAAATCTCCCAGCGCGTAACGTCTGCTTATCAGGCCTCTAGGCCTCTAGGAGCCATCATCCATGCTATTCAAGGCTCACGGCAGTTCACCCTTTGTAAAGTCTGCCATCAAACCTCGCTTGATGGCACTGCTCATTGAAGCTAGCAATTGTGTAGCCTGCTTCCAGCCAGCCTTCTGACCCTCTTCGTCATCATCGAGTTGGTCCAAGTACTTCTGATCCTTCTCGTCCTCAATTACGGCCTGCCCACCCGAAGCGAACTCTTAAGACCATCCAGGGACCCCTCCATACGTGGCAAGGATCAACAGCAAAGCATGCTGATAAAGGGTCCGGTGCCGTGAATTGTCATGTTGGTTGGTTTCAAAGGAGAAGACCTTCCCAATCAAATCCGGTTACTTTCCTACACGTTTGTTGTTTGCTTCTTTTTGTTGTGAATTGGTCACCTCCCTAATCCAAACTGTCGGACCTTCTCCTGAGCAACTGGGCTTCTGCTTTTCGGAGACACATTGATTCTCAGGCACTGTGGGCCTGCCCTGCAGCGCGCCTCTTGCGCTGCAGCTCTGAGTTCTCCGCGCCTCTCACCGCTGTGGTCACTCAAGTGCTTCCACTAGATGTCAACGACTGCGGATCGCCCAACATGCAAAATGTTTGCTCAACTGCAAGCGACCCATGTAGGTTGTGATGCCCTCTCAATTGGCTGCACCAGCCTTCCACTTGCCGGGCCTTGGGTCGCTCACTGGCATTGCTTAAGCCGAATGCTGTCTCAGCGAAAGTGATTTTGCCTTGTTCCCCATTCTTTGGTGACAGGCAGAAACTGCAACCCACTTTGTGTAATGTCATAGCCAAGGGCATGAAGTAATCTTCCAATCAAGCCCAGGGCATCAAGTTATGCCGGTCAAGGGATGAAGCCTTACTATTCCTCTGTTGTGGAAAGGACCTTCTGGGTTCCATCTTGGGTTGAAATGGTCACGACTTAGGACTGAGTTTTGCACACTCGCCCCCAACAATACCTCCCCATGTGGAAGCCCTGTCGGCACACGCACACACACACACACAAATGTAAAAAAGGCACGCACCCAAACGCGCACACACACACACACCCACACCCACACACACACGCAGAAATGGGCCATGGGCAGGGGGGTAGTTAAAAAAATAAGGGCTTGTTTGCGTCCCCTGTAGAAGGTGCCAAGGGGCGTACGGCATATATGATTGACAACCCTCCAAATGCTTTCCGACTAAGTGAGCTTATCAACGTTCAAGATTCCCCCTCCTCAATCTTCTGTGCTTGCCACTAAACAGGTCCTCCCAAAATGTATCCAGTTCAGAACCTGTTGTGTGTGTGTGTGTCTGTGTCGGATCACTCTTGCCCAATGCATACCCCCTGCCAATTGACACAGAGCCTTACATAACCTCTTGGGAAGTGAGTCGCGCCAACAGCGCAGCCCGGTGTGCGCCAACAGCGCTGCGCGAAAAGCTAAGGTCAGGGCCACGGGGATCTACGAAAAGGTTCTGCCACAGTCCCAAGCTCCTGCGCTCGATCCCATTCCCGACCACCCCGTTTCAGGAGACTCACCGAGAATAACATGGGTCAGGCGCTGGAATTCGAGATGTGCCCAGCTGAAGCTCATGGTGCCGTTAGTGCTCTCCATATCTGCAAGCACTTGAGGCGCCGGCAGCGCAAGGAGAAGCAGACCTTGCTGAGTTGGAACACATAGGATTCCCATCTCCCCTCTGTGACAGGGGGTTCTCGGGTCTCACTCACATGCAAACACACTTGAAAGGGTTGAAACAGGTTCTCTCAGAATCATGTCTCATCAAGTTCCCTTAGAGCTGGCCCGCTGGTGATGATTTGGGGGCCAGGCCATGAGTTTTTGGGGCTCAGCGTACGAAAGTCTTTCAACAACAAGGTCCTGGCCTCTTATAAAGGGTCGTTCAAGCATGTTTAAGCAAGGGGCTGGCCCAACTCTGGTGAAAGTAGTGGCACATCTGTAGATTGCATCAGCCCCCTTACCAACACAAAGGGAATCGTACGAGTTGTGCTATCCTTCACTCAAGGGTCAATAATAAGGACTACTCTTCGATGCTTCAGGCAACCAAATGCCAACGGGGTCGAATCTCGGCCTCTCCGGCGTTGCCTGGCAAGGAAGCAGCGGCGCTGGGGAGCTCTTTCACAGCCGTGTGCTTCTTCTTTTGTCCATGTTGTTGGTCCTAAACAGGGTGGTTTTCCTGGCTGAAAGGGTAACCTGCGATTCCTCCCCAACTGAATGTCCCAAACCTGCCTTCCATAGCTCGAGCTGGACATGTTCTCAGATGTGCTTTGCTACGGTCCTGATGTGTCAACTTGTCAACTGTCAAGTCTGAAGGTATGTCGTTGCTAGCGGTGGAGCCAAGCTATCAAGCCCAAAGACTGCGCACCACCATGGGTCTACAATAGCCCAGAAGTGAATTGTGTTTACGGATCCGTTTACGACAACAAATGCGAGATTTAGACTTCGTTGCTGATATACTGACAAATTTCACCCGGCATGCCGTGAACAAAGCCTCGCACGTCCTTCATTTGCTCAAGGCAAGACTTTTGGAACCAACGTCAACCGGTGCACAAAGCAAACCTTATCTCCTTGGCCCAAGGCCACAATGCCTGCTCCCACACCGTTTTTGTGCGACTCTCCTGCATAAGCCTCGCTTCGCCGTTCTGTACCCCACCGGCTCATGGGTTTCCTCAGCTCGTCTAGGCGTTCTCGCGGCCGATGAGGCGCCACAAGGGACCGCGGCTGGACAGCCACCTCACGGTGGTGCCATCCGGCACCAAACGCCCCTGGGCCTGCAGCAAACGGCGCAGGCCGCCGGCGAAGGAACGGAAAAATGGTTCACACACTTCTGGAAGCTTTGGGGTCTATAACGGAGCCCGGGTCTCAATGACTGTGCGCCAAACCTGCGCCCTAGCTTAAGGGGGCGGCTCTCAATTCCAAAATGTTCAGCCTTCCCACAAGGAACATGGAACTCGAAATTGAATTCCGGGGTCCCCACCCTCCCATTAACACACAAACAAAACAACCAACACCTCAGCCTGAACATAAATGAGATGGGTGAGGCAGAGAAAACAATGGAGTATCAACCCCAAACAAAAAACAAACACAAAATAAACGCTTTGTGCTAGGTTAGGACTTGTTGCAATTCCCCAAAAGCATGAAGCAGAACTGTCAAACGGCCCTGGAAAGGGGAGTTGAAGTTTGATCAAGTGGAGTACACGCGTACCAAACACTTTCGGACGAAAAGTGGCTTGTATGCGTGAGTGACACGAGCAAGACCTCCAACTCAACGCACTCCTTGCGCCTGTAAAACGCCTTTCACGCCACAGCTTACATAAACGCACCACATGATTGTTTTTCTTCCATGCGCGGAAACGCCTTGTACTGCTGGTACTCCTTCCGGGTGAAGCGCGTGAAGCCCCACTTGGAGGAGATGTGCACCTTCTGCCTGCCCGCGAACTTGAACTTGGCCCTCCGAAGCGCCTGCGGCGGAACATCGTCGATTGGGAACAGGTCAGACTTGGTGGGCAACGAAAACCACCAACTTGGATAACCTCCGTAGCAACGAAAACAGGAAGAATCGTGCTGCGGAATTTAGGGGGTCCAGAATGTGTGCAGCTTTGAATTATCTTCTGGCTAGTCAGCGGTTGGGATTGGTGAGAACTGAAGCCCCAGTTCTTCTGGTACCGCGGAAAGCTACGTTTCAAACCATAGCCACCGAATGGGAATAAAGTGACCAAATGGGCGGCACGCGGTGCCAAGAATGGGGGTCGGTACTTGAGGCCTGGCCTCCACCGCGATCTGGATCTTCTCATCCTGAACGACCGATCGGATATGCGAAACTCGGTGCCTTCGGGCGTTCTTGTCAAATGCCACCCTCATGTATGCATAACATGGACATCTTGTGTATTATGTGGTTCATATGTGTACATAGATAGATAATAGATAGATAGATAGATAGATAGATAGATAGATAGATAGATAGATAGATAGATAGATAGATAGATCGATAGATAGATAGATAGATAGATAGGATATGATATGATAGGATAGGATAGGATAAGATAGGATAAGACAAGATAAAGAAAACGATGAAGATCAAGACAAAGATAAGATAAGATAAATATGTATATATACATATACCACATGTAATATCATAATCTTATCGCTCCTTGGTGCGCACAGAGATCAGCACCTGTCCAATGTCCACCCGTGCGGCGGTGCCGTAGGGCTTGCCAAAGGCCCCGCGCATGCCGCTGGACAAGCGATCCGCCCCCGCGCAGCTCAGGGTCTTGTTGATGCGCAGCACGTTGAAGGGGTGGGGCCGCATGCCTTGAACAATTGAAGGCCATGTCCCAAAACTGTGTTGTTGGTCTCCTCTTTTTCCGTTTTTGCTTTTTTTCTGGGGGGGGGTCCGACAAATACACTTGATTGAATGCTGGAGAACACAGGATTCATGGTCTTTTCCCGAGGCAATCCTGTGTTTTGGATAACGAAAAGAAACTGGGCCTGGGTGGGTTCGGTTTGGATTTGGTCGGGAGGACATTGGCTCGGCATCTTGGGCTAGGTGCAGGTTACGGGTGCTGGCTCTGAAGGGATGAAAGTTACCTGCCACTTCTATAGGGGACATTGAAACAATTCATGCCGCCTGATTCATCGGGCGATCCTGAGATTGATGCCTTTGAGTACAGGATCCGCTGTCTTGGCAAAACTGGACTGGGCTGGCAGGAAGACAGTCTCTTTCTGCAGGGAGTGGGCTGTTTGGCTAAAATTCAAAACAATGGTGGTGAAACACTTCGTCTGGATTAGGGGCCAGACTCAAGGATGACGGATTGGCGGCCAGTTGCGCTACAAACAGAAACCAACAAGGCATATCATGCGAGCAACAAAGGCGCTACAAACAAGTTTTGGCAGGTTGCGGATGTGGAAGAAATCTCGTCCGGCATTGGTGATCATGTACTTGTTGACGGCGATTCGCGCCGCCTCCAATGCCTCACTTGTGAGCTGCTGGTCCTCGTCACAGACCAAATGACATGTGGCCGGGAACTCATCACACGGCATCTTCTTCTTGCCCACATCGAAGATCCTGATCTTCGGGTCCGGCACACCTCGGCAATAGCGAGTCTTGGGGTACGGCTTGTTCTTGTTGTAGCGGTAGCACTTCGCCGGACGCCTTCCCATGGCTAGACTCTGAGAAAATACGAGGATGCAGGATGACCTACGTAAGCCGTGGCGAGACGTGAATAGTCAGGCTCGCACACATGCAACAGTGCCAACACTTATCCGCACAACGCACAAGTGGCCAGCTACGCAATTTCGACATCCCCACCACCTTAGGGGGAGAGGTGTGGGTTGGTGGGTTGTCCAGAATAGCTCCGTTTCTCTGTGGTCTTCCCAACCAAATCCAAGATTAAGGGGTGGCGATTCTCGGCGCGTTTTCCCTTCCTCTGCCACAGAATACGTCCTGCGTCCTTGGGAGTACAGGGGCTCTGCGTCTGGCCGCGCAAACATGCGTAGGCTGGCTACTTTGTCTCGCAAATGGCTACAATCTCAGGGCTAATCTGCACGTTCCACCCTTAAGCTAGGATTGACATGTTTACCATCATTATGTTAGTCAATGGCAAAGACACACGATGTTAGCAACGTTGGCGAATTTACGCAGTACACATTGTGCGTATTGTCTATCATAGAACACTGGAGTAATCTGCAAATGACCCGGGAAAAAAAAACATCTTCTTGGGGCTCTGCCTGACTTGGCAAGCTTAGTCGAGAGGAACACTACTCGACACACAAAATAATCATTTGATCCCGAGGCCACAAAACCTGATCACAGGAGTTGCGCCAGAACGACCTCACCGGCCGGTTTTGCGCGAAGACCTCAAGAGCGCCAAAGCTAGATCTCACTTTCCGAAGCTGGACGTTGGAGCCCTCAAAACTGGTTGGCTTCCCTTCGGAATCCCCTTAGAGTCACGTTCCACTTCCAGTGTTTGGACACTCTATCCGGTCTTCCCCAATACCTTCCGATGCCAGCTCGGTAAGCCGGCAGTGCCGTTGAACATGCTGAGGAACTCCTCGCCAGGCCCGGTCGGCTCACGATCAATGCTTGGAGCAGGAGCCCCAGTGTACCTGGCATTGGAGCACAGGATCAGGAACAGGTGTCATCCTCCATGTAGTGTACCCCTGACACCAGACTGCATGTTCAGGGACATGGCTAAAAGGGGGTTTGCGCGGTATGTATGGGTATGGTGTCGCAGTCAATGAGGATACACAATTCTGGGCCTGCCAGCTCAACCGGCAGTGCAACAGCTTGCACCCATCTTGCACCCAAGCTGTGCCGCGCTTGCCACTCACCTTAAATCCCATGGACGGAAAACACCCTGCAAAAGTTGGTGGGTGGTTTATCCCAGCAGGAATTTGTCCATCCGTACAAACATATATAAACAGCACCAAACCTGCCAGCTGCACGTCCGCACAGAGGACCGCGATGGCAGCACGGCGCCGGCCGAGCCGTGCGGCAGGGCAGGATCCACACCAAACCTCCAAGACCAATTGCCGCTCGCCACGTGACCCGTGGGTTCGAACAAATGCGGGCCCCAAAATGGCTTCGGTCTTCCTTTTGGCTTCCCTTTAAACACCACAAAATCGGGGCACTAGTACCCTCAAAAAAAAGCCAACCCGAATGAGCTCAGAAAATGAAGCAATCGGCTTTTCCCCGCACGCCTCTCGGGGCGTGGGCCTTGGGTGCGCCCAAGAGTCTGCGTTCGTGGCGTGCGGGGCGTGGTGTTTGCGGCGGGCCTCGCGGCAGAACTGTCGGATTGCCCTGAGGTGAACGTGGGGCAAAGTATGCCTTGAAGATAAACGGCAAATTAAACTTCTGACAGAACTACTAGCTGGTGAAGCTGTCAAACGACGATGACAAAGTACGTCCCACTACATGCTAATTGCGGCATTCAAGCGGGGTCATCATCTGCCTGCCAAGTTTATCTGTGCTTCCGACATGTCAAGTGTTTATGTGACTTGTTGGACCAGTTCAATGGCATGGCTTCCCCTTTACCCAGTGCGAAAATACGAGGACCCGCACAAGTCTTGAACACCTGCTCCAGAATCACAATGATTTGGAAGAAGGGTCTGGTATGCTAGGAAGAACCTCGATAAAGCGGATACAGGTCCAACCTCCTCGCCAAAGACAGCTCTGGCGGCAGAGCAAAGCCCGCCTGGCGGAGCATGTGCACATGCACACATTGACATGGACTATGTATCTAAAATGCTTGGCTTCTTCTTGGTTCCCCTGCTTCTTCCGCCAAAACGCGGCAACTACACGCTCACATCCTGCTGCCATACCGTCATCCCCCACCTGCAACCGACTGCACCAGTATCATTTCCTCCGAACCACACGTGCTGGATACTGGAGCTGGAGATCGCTCTGAACCCAGTGTGCAAGCCAGGCATTCAGAAACATGACTGCTCCAAATCACCAGCTAACTGGCATAGCACGCTTCAAAAAGTGCCCACTCAAAGTTGAGGGCACCCTCAAAACGGATGGCTTCCCCAGACTAAAACACCAACACAGGGCCAAGAACACAACACGCCATTCACAGTGACCAAGCCGTCAGTTGCCTTGGCTTCTTCTTGACGTCTGGCGGCTTCGAGTTGCCTGCGGTTACATGGCTTGGGTGGCCGCAGGTGCACCTAGGTGACTCCCAAAGTAGAAACGGAGGCATCTTGGACTGTGTCTAAATAGAAACCAACAGGATCTGGAAACTCCCTGCCAAGTGTGCAGTTATTGCTTGACCTTGGCTGAATCGGCATCCCCAGCCCTTGCATTCAAATCATTCAAGCGCGAATGCCAGGCAAGCATCTGGCTTCGAATCCAAAAGCATGGCTTCGCCACACATACGTGGGTGTTCTTTTGAGGGTACCATTGCTACCAATAGTGACAACCACCTTTTTGGGGGGGTCGCCAAGAAAAAAGAGACGCCCAGATCTGTCCTAGATTTCGCCGCTTCGCCGCGGATTTTCCGCCTTTACCCCCCCCCCCGCCTGGGATGCAGGGTCACGGCCCCCGACATGTCGCTGGGGCGATCTTCACCCCGAGCCCCGGTGGCTGCGGACGCATAGAACTTCGGTGAGGCGCGCAAAGGCTCTTCTGGGGAAGCCGGGTGCATTTTTAACAAGACATCAGACTTACCCTCTCGAAAACGGTTGAGGGAAACCGCTGGGTGTCACAAGCTACAAACCCAGCGAAGGATTCTCAAGGCAGACCAGCTCCGAAGCTGTTTCCTCTGTGGATTTTGCGCTTCCACCCTATTTGCACATCCCCCTTGGGGGGCTCGCGCCTCGGAAACAGCCAGTTGTTTTGTGCAGCTGGTGTAGCTGGACAATCTGTCTGGCCAAAGCAACCTGGGAACAACCCCCTTCATCGCCCAGCTATTTCAGGCAACTGGATTCAAACGATCCATGGTCGAAACTTCCCATCAGGATGGCCAAAACTTGCCTTGAGAAGAATTGCTACGACTCAAATTGTCTTTGAGGGTATGCCGAATGACCCCCCAAGTGCTGTCTTTCTCAGCTTGGAGACCCATGAGCCCCCTCCGGCTGGGCCAATCTCGACCGCTCAAATGAAGGTGAAAAATCGGTTCTGCCCCACGCTCCGCATGATCATGTCCTTCTCCGTTACCAACAGTTTTCGGTCCTCTGGACTCAGGCAGCAAATGCCCCCAGAAGGCGGGTCGAAGTGGGACTTGCGCTCCGGCATGGACCTTGACTGATCAAGAGCGCTGCCCAGGTTGTTGGGAGGTTAATCCAATTGTCAATCCTTGTTTTCGTCAGAAGGTGGGAATTCCCTAGTCCCGGCCTGATGTTTGGGAGAGAAACCAGGCATGTAGACTACAATTAGAATACATGCTGAAACTATCCTTGTCATGTGCCATACTAGCAACTATCACCGTAAGAGCACATGCTTGCGTGGAACACAATACCTCTGCTCGCATGAATCAAGCATGTGAAGAATCATGGTTGAACAGCTGGACAGTAATCTGACTTCTTGACAGGCGACGTGGCAACACGTGCTTTGGAGCTCAAGGGTTCAAATTTTGGAAATCCGATGAGCCTTCATCTGGATGTGTCAAGCAAACTTAACTTTGGAAACTCGCCGGGCATCTAAAGCAAGCAGGTAGCAAGGCCTCTCTCCAAAGCTCCATTAGCAG